TAAAATCCTCAATTATCTATTTTCATTTCCTCTGCTAATACTATACTCAATGACACTAATCATTAGCAACTAGTAATAAGTCTCCTTTCAGGGATGGCTTTTTACTGTTCTTTCCTTTCTCAGGAGCATATTAGATAAACAAAGAAAGCAAAATAAAAGCTTTTACTTCTGCTTTCCTCTGGGCAAGGCTTTCATGAAAAGGCTGATAGGGTATATTGACACCAAGTTAACCCTTACACCTAAATTACTTCTTGGCAAAACAGCTTCTTGAAAGCTACATTCCTTGTTTCAGGAAAACCAAGGGCCATTGGTGACAGCAATAGATAAATAAAGCCAGTAATGCACTATTTTCCAGGCACAGGTACAGCTGCAGAACTTAGCTAAGTGTGTGGACAACACTGAATGTCAGAAACATAGTGGAGAAGCAAAGAAAAATAATAAAAGGCTGGGGAGTGGGAAGGACAGGTAGAGGGAGAAGTACAAGAGGAAAACTTAAGGACAAGCAAAAAGAAGTTCATCTATTCATGATTACCAATCGGGTACTTTCTATGTACCAGGCTCTGTGATAGATTCTAAAGATATACAGAATAACATAGACATGGACCTTGTTATCCGGGCAGTTATAGTTAACTTAAGAAATGGACAAGAAACAGACTTCCGGCCAAGATGGAGGCCTAGGTAGATACACTTTGCCTCCTCACACAACCAAAAGAAGGCCAACAACAAATTTGAAAATAAAAAATAACCAGAACTGCCAGAAAATTGAACTGTATGGAAGTCTAATAACCAAGGAGTTCAAGAAGAAATATTCATTTAAACCAATAGGCGGGGAGGGGAGGACATGCAGCAAGGTGGCAGCTGGAGAACCAGATAGGCAGCAGATGATAGACCAGATGGTCCCACATTTGTGTGCAAATAAACTGGGAGGAACAACTGGGGAGCAAGACAGACCATGTAACCCAGGGTTCCAGTGCAGGGAAATAAAGCCTCAAAACCTCTGATTGAAAAATCCTGTGGGGATTGCAGTGGCAGCAGAAACTCCCAGCATCACAGTAGAGTTTGTTGGAAGGCCCACAGGGTTCTAGAATGTACACAAAACCACCCACCCGGGAATCAGAACCAGAAGGCCCCAATTTGCTTGTGGGTAATGAGAGAAGTGACTGAAAGCCACTGAGAGCTGAAGCAAGTGGCACTGTTCCCTCTCTAACCACTTCACCCCCACACACAGTGCCACAGTGTAGCAGAGAGTTGCCCCACCCATCAAATACCTAAGGCTCTGCCCCTTACAATGTAAAGGTGCACTGAGACAAAAAGGCCCAAATGAAAAAACAGATCAAAGCTCCAAAAATAGAACTAAGTGATGAAGAGATAGCCAACCTATCAGATGCAAAGTTCAAAACACTGGTAGTCAGGATGCTCAAAGACATGGCAGAGTATGGTCACAAAATAGAGGAAGAAGTGAAGGCTATGAAAAGTGAAATAAAGAAAAATATACAGGAAACCAACAGTGAAGGGAAGGAAACTGGGACTCAAATCAATGGTTTGGAGTGGAAAGAATAGTAAACATTCAACCAGAACAGAATGAAGAAACAAGAATTCAAAAAAAATGAGGAGAGGCTTAGGAATTTCCATGACAACTTTAAACGTTCCAACAATCAAATTATAGGGGTACCAGAAGGAGAAGAAGAAGAGCAAGAAATTGAAAACCTATTTGAAAAGATAATGAAGGAGAACTTCCCTAATCTGGCAAAGGAAATAGACTTCCAAGAAGTCCAGGAAGCTCAGAGAGTTCCAAAGAAGTTGGACCCAAGGAAGCACACACCAAGGCACATCATGATTACATTATCCTAGATTAAAGATAAGGAGAGAATCTTTAAAGCAGCAAGAGGAAGGAGAGAGTTACCTACAAAGGATTGCCCATAAGGCTATCAGTTGATTCCTCAAAAGAAACTTTGCAGGCAAGAAGGGGCTGGAAAGCAGTGTTCCAGGTCATGAAAGGCAAGGACCTATGCCCAAGGTTAGTCTACCCAGCAAAGCTTTCATTTAGAATGGAAGGGCAGATAAAGTGCTTCCCAGATAAAGTCAAGTTCAAGGAGTTCATCATCACTAAGCCCTTATTATATGAAATGTTAAAGGGACTTATCTAAGAAAATAAAGGATCAAGACAATGAACAGTAAAATGACAACAAACTCACAACTATCAACAACAGAACCTAAAAACAAAAACAAACTAAGCAAACAACTAGAACAGGAACAGAATCAGAGAAATGGAGATTACATGGAGGGTTATCTGTGGGGAGGGAGAGAATGGTGGGGAAAGGTACAGGGAATAAGAAGCATAAATGGTAGGTACAAAATAGATAGGGGGAAGTTAACAATAGTATAGGAAATGGAGAAGCCACAGAACTTATATGTAAGATCCACAGACATAAACTAAGGAGGGCAGGGGAATGCTGGTGGGAGGTGGGTGCAGGATAAAGGAGAATAAAATGGAGAAAAAAATGGGACAACTGTAATAGCATAATCAATAAAATATATTTTAAAAAGGAAATGGACAAGAAACAAGTATAGGCATACATTTTATTGTGCTTCACTTTATTGTACTTTACAGATACTGCATATTTTATAAATTGCAGGTTTGTGGCAACCCTGCATTGAGCAAGTCTGCCAGTACCATTGTTCCAACAGCATTTGCTCACTTCATGTCTTCGTGTTATGTGTTGGTAATTCTCACAATATTTTAAATAATAATAATGAAAGATTATGACTAACTGAAGACTCAGCTGATAGTTTGCATTTTTTAGTAATAAAGTATTTTTAATAAAGGGACATACCTTTTTTAAACATTGCATACTCAATAGACTACAGTATAAAGTAAACATAATTTTTGTATGCACTAGGAAACAAAAAAAATTATGTGACTTGCTTTATTGTGATAATTAGTTTTACTATGGTGGTTTGGAACCAAGCCCTCAATATCTCTGAGATATGCCTGTAACTAATCAAAATTGTAGCAAATGCTTTAGAGAAATAAAATGTACACTGCATCAAATAACCAGGAGCAAGAAGGTCAAGGTTTCCAAATTGGGCTGGAATAGTTGATGAATTAACACATTCCCAGGTTCAACCAGGGAGTTTGGAGGAGTTGTTGGGAGACTGATGTGAAAACTGGAGTTAGAGCCAGTGTTTGGCAACTAAGCCAAAGAAATTAGGGCATCTTCATTCAGGCGAGGCTCATCTCAGGAATAATATGAATAGACATAGATCTGGCTGGGTGTTAGGTTGATAAGTTTCTGTGGACTGGCCAGACTGCAGTGGGATGTGTCCTCTGAGCCCTGCCCTACTTGTTTCAACTAGTAGGAAACACCAGTCTTACCTAGCACTACAGCTCCTCTCTTCCCAGGGCTGGATTTACACTGGATCCAACCTGGCCAGTAAGAGCTCTCTTAGCACCACCACTTCTGGCCCATTCCACGCATTCACTAATTACAGTGGAGGCCTACTCTATGCCAGGCCTCCTGCCAGTCTGTGACAATATTACAGTGCTGCAGAAGGCAAGGAGGTTATCATCTAATTCAGAGTTTCCCAATCATTCTTGGTTCACAGCACACTCAAGTTCTCAGTAGTTTATCCATGGCAACCTTGGGCCAAAAGAAATTCCTATCATTCCTTTGTTTAGAAGTTAGGTCCAAACAACTTAGTAAGTATTTATGTCTGAATAACTTAGTAGCTGTTTGAAGATATACCCATAAACTTCAAGAAAAATTAGTATTTTTGTTTCATTCCAGGGTGTGCGTGCCTGTTGGGAACTACATAACTTCTCAAACATTAAAGTCAGATCAGACCCGGCCGTCCTCGTTTCCTGTTCCACAGTGACTTTTGTGTGGTTTTGGATTGTTATCACAACTGTTGAAAACCCAGCTTTACAAAAATATGACATCACTCAAAGAAATGTACTGGAAAAAAAATGTAGTATAAAGTGAAATCGCACAGTCTCCACTTACATGCAAGATGTCAGGCCGATTACCTCTGTTTTCCTCAGATATTTAAAATATTCTATTTTTTATAAAAAAATTTTTCATTGAAAGTTGACAGTCAACAGTCAAAATTATATTAGTTTCAGGGGTTAGACATTTATATGTTATAAAGTGATCACCCCATAAGGTTAGTAGGTACATTTATAAAATAGGTTTATTATCAGCTTTTAAAAAGTAGTACTGGGGGAATTTTATCCTGTTTTGAAAATGTTCCATATTTTCATAGGTGGATAATCAGGCACAACTCACCTAACTGTGGACAGATGGTGGTAGATACGTGATGAAGAGTAGCATAAAATGTCAAGAATCTAGGTGGCAGATATAGCAGTGTTCATTGTGAAGTTCTTTCAACTTTTTGGACATGTTTAAAATGCCATGCTAAAATGTTGGAAGTTTTTTTATTTCATTTAACGCAACACCTAAGATCTGTATATCACACTGTTAAAGATAACTCAGAAAAGAAACTGGGGCAAAACTGAAGAGAGGGATGGGTTAAAAACAAAATATAAGTTAAAACAATGATTCTTTTGGATCCTAGATATGGTTGTCCTGGGTTAAAAAAAAAAATCCTCAGTAATCCTTGGTTCTACCGAGTAGGTAAAAACTAACGTCAGGTCAAGCTGCTATGAAGGGAAGGGACTGCATTCTTCCTAAATAACACCTTCTTGCATCAGACCCATCTCACTCTTTCTACCAGTAACGCCAGGAACGATTTTACCAGAATCGCTCGGGCTGCGTGGACTTTCCTGCAGCCCCCAAACCTGCGGAGCCGCGTAGTAAACGAGCCCCGCAGGGCCCCCTCACTGAGTGGCTGGGCAAGCGAGGGCCAACTCGGTGGGTACCCGCCCCCAGCCATGCGCGGGTCCAGAAAGGTACTCCACGCAGCGCCGCCTCCCCTGAGCTCCGCCCGGAATTGCGCGAGCCTCTGGCTCCCACCTCGGTAGAGACCCGTCTGGCACCGCCTCTACGTCCTGACGGCTCCAATCCCGGCTCACGGAAGTCGGGCACGATGGCTGCTCCAGCCCTGGCGCCGGTCACTCGGCAGGTCAGCAGCCGAACCGCTGCTGCCCCGGACCCAAGCTGCCAGGAGCGCCGGCAACCACTGGCGGCCGCTGTGGCCGAGCTTCCCGTGCTAGACGCGTCTGGGAGGCGGGTGCCGTTCGGCGAGCTGTTTCGGGAGCGCCGGGCTGTCGTGGTCTTCGTGCGGGTGAGCGCTGGCCGGGAGGTCGCCCGCTGGCTGGGATGGAGGTTGCTTGCACAACCTCGGCTGGGGGCACAACGGGACCCTCGAGCAGAGGGTCCGGGGTCGAGAGCGGTGTCCGCCGGGTCCTTCTTGCTGTAGTCCATTAGAGGCGTCCTGGGTGTGAAGCGTCCCCCCGCTTCCGGTAACGGGAAGGGACTAACAGCCCGCCAGGCCAATGCATTTTCTCAGCAAGCGAGGAGGCCTAGCAGAGACTGGCTGCGGCCCAGTTTTAATGCGCTTTGGGCACCCCTTGACACCTTTTCCCACCCACCGTGAGTGTTGAGTTAGAGTCACTCGAAACGAAGTACTTGGTCCTTTCTGGACCCAGAGGGTGTTAGTTGCTAACTTGTTCTTTTTGCCGTGTTGGGATTTCAGCATTTCCTGTGTTACACCTGCAAGGAATACGTAGACGATCTAGCCAAAATCCCCAAGAACTTCTTACAAGTAAGTTCCTGAGAGTGAGTTGCTGAGCAGCAGCGTGCCGCTTCAGGGCGACCTTGTGAAAGTCAACTGTCATTTTTAAGTGCAGTGGGGTCATGTGTGGAATGCACTGCTTTTCCAGCCCAGATGCTGACAAACCCAGATTATCACTTTCCCACACCAGAACCTCCAAAAAGGGGAGAGACACTTTAGAGATCTATTTGTCTTAATGTGTTGGGCTGGGCACTGCTTGCTTATAAACATACTAACCATAGTGGTAATTTTGATATTACCTACTAGCCTGCCTATTCACAACTGTTGAATGATAATGACCAAAAGTATAAATGCTGGCAATTACTTGTATTTCTTTTCTTTATTTTTGTAATAAAAACACTCCAAAAAGTTGTTCATCGTAGGAAAACATTAATATATCTTAAACGTGAAAAATTGTACAGATTTCATATCCCTGTGACAGCCAAACACATGTGTTTTTCTTCAGGCACATATAGTTTGTCCCCAGGTGAGCTTTTGAGCGAAGTCATTAGGTAGCCTTTGTAAAACTCAGGTCTGTTTTCAGCAGACCTTAACAATAGGGGTGTGAAAAAAATAAAACTGATTAAATAACTCTACTTTTTATTCTTTTTTAAAGTACACTTTTGGGGGAGTACAGAGAATTATTGACTATATTATTTTAAAGTTCTTAGCAAAAGATCATCCGCATTCAACATTTTAGCATGCAGTGATCCTGCACCTATCGAGGGAGTTACATTCCAGAGACTCCCTTGATAGGTGAAAATCCTTGAAGTAGCAGCATTATATTTATTTTATTACTTAGATATATTTTAAGACTTTATAAACCTTCCCACACTTTTATGAACACTTCATATGCTTTTAAACACTTTCTACACTCTTAAACCTATGTAATTTTAAAACATATAAAATTCTACATGGGTACTCACCAGTGAAGTATACAGTCGTCCCTTGCTATATTGAGGCTCACTTATTGCAGCCTCATTGTATCGATACAGTGAGGCTGCAATAAGTGAATGGAGATATAGCTAGGGACAACTATATATTTCTTTGCTTTGATGCATAGGATTTTGCTGTTTATTCCATTCTTCAAGAAGCCTATAGATGGCATTAGAATGAAACAAAAAAGAGTTGGACAAGGGGAAGTTGTAGAAAACATAATTTCTAATAGTATGTACATGTGTGTTTTTTTTCCTAAAGGAGGCAAATGTCGCCCTTATAGTGATTGGGCAGTCATCCTACCATCATATTGAGGTAAATGTATCACAAATTGAAAAACAGACATAGAAATATGATTTGAACCACTAACTATAGGTTAAATTTACTAAAATTTAGATTATAATTACTTTTCTCTCATTTCTTATAAAAACCCCAAATATTTTCTTTTTGTAGCCTTTCTGCAAACTGACTGGGTATTGTCATGAGATCTATGTTGATCCTGAGAGAGAAATTTATAAAAGATTGGGAATGAAAAGAGGTGAAGAAATTACCTCCTCAGGTAACACATGACATTTCTCAAGTAAAAAACACTGATGGTGTATTTTTACATTTAACCATGCATAGGGAAACAAAGGGTAAATTCATAACTCAGGCTGCTTTTTATGACTCTCGTAAGTGGTCTGTGTACACCAGGCTCTAAAAGATTCATTTTCTGGGTGTAATGACATGGAAAGCTGTTTGTAAAGTACTAAATGAAGTTAAAAAACAAGTTGCAAGACAATGTTTTCAATGATTACAGTTTTGTGAAAACAAGAACCATTTCACAAACATAAAGATCTGTAGTGTGCATATGTGAATACAATGAAGGTTTTAAAAGATATTGCAGTGCCTACCCCAAGGAATGAAAGTGAGAAAAGTGGCTTTTATTGTTTTTACAATGAGTACATTTTACTTTTGTAATTAAAAGAAAAATAATTGCTTAAGCTAATATATTTTTATACCTCATCATCACAACTTTGAATACTCTATGTTCTTTAATTGATGAAATGTTTTCATTTAAGCCCAACTCAAAGGGACTCTTAATAGCTCTTCAAGCAGAGGTAATTGCTTCCCTTGTTGTATTTTAATAGCACCTTGTACATCACTATATACTTAGTTGTTGCATGTAAAGTGGCCGGGAGTATAGTTAGTTGAAGTGTCTGATGTTTTATTCACCTTTATGTGGTCAACATTCCCTGCCCTTAGCACAATTCTTTTATAATTAATAGAGTTTATAAACTTTAGGCATTTAGGTGAACCATTAATATGTGTTTTAGGTAAGAAAAACTTGGCTTCTGAAATTTGAAATAAGAGAACTCAACTTGAACTCAAATCATTAATTCTCAACAAATATTGAGCTCTTGTTTGTTGACAACCACTGTGTTGGATGCTACAAGAAAATAATGATAAAAGACACAGCCCTTGCCATCCCAAAGCTCATAATCTGAGTGATAGAAGCAAACAGCTAATTACAACCCAGATTAAGGGCTTATAAAAGAGAAGTGTTCTGCTAATACCTGTGCCTGAAATCTGAGGAAACAAGTATCTGGGAAGGCTTCTCAGAGGAGGTGTTGTCTAAGCTCAACCTTAAGGGAGTTAGCTGGGTAAAACGAGGCTGGGAAAGGGTGCTGCTGACAGCACATGCAAAAGCTCACAAGTATGCTAAAACTTGACTCTTGAAAAGAAGTGCAAGGCCCTGCATCTGGCCAGAGTCTAAGAGCTAGTTTGGGAATTGGTGTGAGCCAGGGGACATGTTGTAGCCATTTATGCTGAGTATGGGTGACAGGCCAAAGAGTTTGGATTTGTTCTGGAGACAGTGGGGGAGTCATACAAGTATTTGAGGTGGACAAGTGATACAGTAACGTATCCACAGTGGAGAAGGCACTGGAACTCACCAACTAGAGCCAGTCTGTGACAAGACTGTAGTAATAGGCTGGAAAGAAAGAAATGACAGGGCCTGAAGTAGAGGTGGATGGATGGGCGGGGAGGGGCAGGGGATGGACTGGGGAGCTATTTATGAAATAGAGTTAACATCGTCCATTTATTGATGTTTTTTTAAGAAGGCAACTTAAACTTTATTAACACTACTGATGAGCTAGCTTAAACACAGAGTTTGCTCTTTTTCTCTCTTTAGTGCAGGAAATTTCAGCAGTCCCAATTGTGGACTGTAACAGGCTCTGCATGTGTAAGGTCTCTGCACCATTTAGCACTTGAGCTGTAAACTGTGGTTTTCACTTTGGTAACACCTCACCATGCATTGCCACAACAAAGATACAGAATTGCAAAGAAAACAGATGAATTCTAAACAAAATATACCCTTGTGATTGTAAGAGAGGTTATAGTCAAATCTTTGAAACTTCTTTGACCTGTGTTAAAGTACTGTATTTCCAAACGGAAGATATTAGGTTCTTACAAATAACTTTTAAAATTTTCTCCCTGAAACAGTATGAATCTCAGAATCAGTCTCCAAGTAGTCCTACTTGAAATCAACGCACTAAAAAATGCAATTATAATGTTAAATTAATGGGACATTTTATAAAGAAAAAGAGGAAGAAAGTAAAGCCATTAAATAAAAAGGAGTTGGGGGCTTTCCCCAGTAGTATTTCATTTTGCCTTATTTGATAAGAAGCTAATTTATGATATTAAATCTACAGTGATGACTACAGGTGCAAGACAAGTACAATTCGGAAAACATGCCTCTTACAATATTTGCTTAACCTAGTGTTTTAAGGTAAAATTCTGTTCTTGAGTCTAAGAATCAAAGTAAATAGAAAAGAAAACTGAAAAATAGGAGTTTTATGCATAAGAACTAAATTCAAACTGGCAAAATCAGAGTCTGCTTTACAGCAAAGATTGTTAAATTCTGGGTTGTGGAATCTCCTTCAGTTGAATTTCTGTTATTTCAAAAATACCAAATGACCCTTTCTTTGGACATTAGGAGGTAGTTTGGATTTCTGAACATTTATTGTAGGTATAGAATCCTATAAAACAGTAAAAATGTCTTTTCCTCATGTCTTCAGGCTGATGAACCTATATTTGTTTCTTGGTAAGTCCATTCTAATGGAAACATGAAAGATATAAAAGTTCAAGAGATGGAGGAAAAGAATAGGTATCTGGGAATATTAAGAAATCAGGCAGGTCAAAGGCAGCATAATCATCAACATAAAAAGTTAAAAGCAAGTCATAAAAGACAGGAATAGGAGAAAAATAAGTTACATGAAGGATAAAGTGACTGAGTTTCTTCACTCAAAGAGTGGAAGTAAAGTATCAGTCAGTGTGAGAAAGGAAATAGAAACACTGGCAGCTAAGAAAAGATGGAGGGGTAGCTGCCATAGTTACAGGTAAGCCCCAAAGTCTCAGTAGCATAACATGGTCAAAGGTTATTTCTTTTTCTTTTTTTCCATTTCAAGAAGGGTGCATCTGTTTGGGTGCCTTGTGTTCAAGTAGCAATTCAGGGACATGATATGGAAGGACCCAGTTCCCTTCCATCTTGTGGCTCTGCCATTTTCAGCCCAAGGCTCCCAAGAGTATAGAAGAAACATGGAGAATCACTTGTGGCAGATTTTAGGAGCTAGTGCACATCCTTCTACTCATTGGTTAGAACATAGCTACGCACCATACCTAACTGCCTGGAAGACTGGGAGATTCAGCTGTGGGCCCAGAAAGAGGAGACAGGTTTTGACCAGCATATAACAATGTGCTGCAGTGTTTCTTGAGAAGGAATGGAGCTACCTATGTGTAGGATAGAGACTAAACAATGTATGAATGGGGAATTGAAAAGGAAAGTACCACCAGTTTGAGAAGTCTGTAGCCGACAGTTTTCTGTGGCAGATAATGGTCTGGGTCTGTCATCACTTTTTCCTTTCAACCAGAAGTCGTCAATCTGGGACAGTTTTTCTCCCCAGGGGACATCTGACATTGTCCAGAGACATTTTTAGTTGTCACAACTTGGTGGATGGTGGGTGCTATGGCATCTAATGGGTACAGAGGTCAAGAGTGTTGCTAAACACCCTACATTGTGGTGGATACCGGCCAGCAGTTTCCATCTCAGCTGTGGATGTTTGTCAACACGCGAGAAAAACATACACAGAGACAACCAGGTCCTGTGGGGGAATAGGAACAGAAGGTCCACTCCTTCCATGGGGAGTGCCCTGTTCCCCCTCTGGAGAGGCTTTTTATTAGTTTTGTTTGCATAGGGATTAAGGTAAAAGCTCATTAAACATTGCCAGGAAGTAAGGATCAAACAATAGATAGCAAGGAAGTCTGAGGGCCTATTTTGAATCAGGATTAAAGAGCTGTAAAACTTTAAAGAACAAACTTACTTCTTCCTTGGACCCTTATCATTCAACTGAGAGCATTCTAAACAAAGTAGGTTTCACAGGATCTTACATATTCTTTCTTAGGCCTGATCACCCGGGGAACCCGCCCTTTCCAGCAGAGCTGCACCACCCTGTCATTGTTTCAGGCTTAGGTGGAGTAAGGGAAGTAAGGCAGCCAAGGGATAAGGAGATTTTCTCCCAGACGATGAGGACTCAGGCTATATCACAGCCGAGGAGCGAGGGTCCATCACCCCCTTTTGCTGTAGCCCCCAAAGTCCTTTCTTGGGGGCCTCCCACATGATTGTGCCTGTCTTAGATCATTCCCCCCTTGGGGAATCTTACCGGTCATTGGCTAACCGACCAAGCTTTGGGGTTCAGTTATGAATGAAGCAGCAGAAGTAGCGCTCCGGCCAGGGAGATGAACTTTTGTCTCCTTGCTGGCTTACGGTCCAAGGCCACTCCCTCAGCCTTAGCCTTGGTGGGGAGGGGGTAGGGGTTACAGCTTCTGATACCAGGCAGGGCAGTTCCCAACACTACATTGCACAGGACAAAGAATTATCTGGTCTAAAACATCACTAGTGAAAGGCTGAGGGACTGTTTTTTGGGGGGAAAAAAAAGACAAGTCACAAGTTAAGAGGATACACAAAACAGAGCATGTTTTATAGAAGACTAACATCTTTTTAAATATCTAATTGAATATAAAATGGTAACATCTAAAGACACTTTCTAATATTTTAGGACAGAGCCCACATGTAAAGTCAAATATACTCTCAGGAAGCATTTGGAGCCTGTGGCGGGCAGTGACTGGCCCTCTTTTTGATTTTCAAGGAGATCCAATTCAGCAGGGCGGAACCCTCATTTTAGGTCCAGGTAAGCATCAAAGCCCAGACCCAGAATGCACTTCTCATGCATTTTAGAAGTCCAGAGGCCTCCTGTTTTCTTCATAAAATAACAACTGTGTGGAAATGGGCAGTTTGATATTGTACCAGTCAGGGTGCTGTGCTTTCATAGGGGGCACCTTTTGTTTCCAAAGACTAGTGTGTATTTTGATGTCTGCCTATTGGATGTAATGTGTCCATCATTCCATGCCCAAGTGTTTTCAGATATTTGGCATAGGAAAAGCCAGTCCTGGTTTAGTGAACTGTATATGGCTATAACACTCTTGAAAAAATTCAGTGGAGGTGAGTATTTTCAAATAGGAAAAAGTCATCAAGTGCTCTTTTTTTGGTCAATAGATGAATCAGTCTAGTTAATTATATCTGTCAAAACTAGGAGCCTTGCTCAGTGTCAGATAGCAGGTCAACCTCAAGGACAGCTCATTCAATAACAATTACTATAAACCATAAGCTATAAATAGCTTTATTGATCAGTTTGGACCACCTGAAATTCCTTTGGCTCTACTTTGCTAAACAGTTGAGTGTTGAATCTTTACCCTGTTCAAGTATTGCAGTCAGGGACAAACACCCACCCATGATTGTGTCAAAATACCTATCACTATATTGTAAACTATTTTTTCTTAGTTCTTCTTCCTCTTTAAAATTGTCTACATTTGTCCTGACCAGTGTGGCTCAGTTGGTTGGGCATTGTCCCACAAAGTGAAAGGTCACCAGTTTGATTCTCCATCAGGGCACATGCCTGGGTTGCAGGTTCAGTCCGTGGTTGGGGCAATTAATGTTTTTCACATCAATTTTTTGTCTTCTCTTTCTCCCTCCCTTCTCTCTAAAAATAAATTAAAATAAAATAAAATAAATAAAATAAAAATTTAAAAAATAAATAAAATTAAATCAAAACAAATTAAATTAAATTAAAATAAAATGTCTACATTTGCCCTGGCTGGGTGGATCAGTCAGCTGGAGTTGTCCCATACACTGAAAGTTTGAGAGTTCACTTCCCAGTCAGGATACATTCCTAGGTTGTACGTTTGATTCTCTTTCAGGGTGAGTACAGGAAGCAACGAATTGATGTTTTTCTCTCTTTCCTTTCCTCTCTCTTTAAAATCAATAAGCATAACATGAGATGCGGATTATAAATTTGTCTACGTTAGTGAGCTTAGCTTCTAAGAGTTATAAAATTTACATTAATAAATTCCAGATAGCTAAACAGAAGTCTTTGGAAAGAGGATTTTGACCAAGCATTATAACTGTTGGGCTTTTTGCATTTGGAACACTATAGGTAACAAATCTGTTATTTATTCTCCCTCTCTCATGAATTTACATCAGTTAGATTAGCCAAAAAAGAAGCTGTGTTTTATGAGAATGAGTCCTACAAACTAGCCGAGAACAACATTGAGCTATATTTCTGAATGACTCATTTCCATCCTCAGACCTGGAAGGCGTTTTTCTGAGTCCTCATGTCTTGGCATCATCTGACCACACATTCAGTTGTGGAAGAATGAATGAAGAATGCAGGGAGATTGTCATTTGTGTCCCAAGTTGAGAACGTACTTAATAAGGAGATTTTAATACTGCCTACTGGAAATAATGTAGCTTCTCTAAGGAAAGAGCTAGGCGTACTTATTTATAGAAATCTATATCGTGGTTAACCCAGTATTTCATCTTGCCTTATTTGCATTATTTGATAATAAGCCAATTTATTATATTAAATGTCTAGTGATGACTGTAGACAGCAGGTAAGTGTAATGCAGAAAATATGCCTATGTTTCCTTAATCTAATGTTTAAATTCTGATCTTGAGCTTAAGAATCAGAGAACTAAACTATAAATTATGACTTTTCATATTTTAGCAGATAAAAGGATTCTAAGTATTTAAGGACCTAACTGATTGTTTTACTGTCCTTATTTTCGGTCTCTTTTGTTCTATAGTTATAAGGCATATAGCCTATTAAATCAGTATTTGGAAGTGAATGTTTTTAAGTGATTTATTCCATTATTACATTTAAGAAACAGCCCTGGCCAATGTGGCTCAGTTGGTTGGAGTGTCATCCTCTACACCAAAGGGCTGGGGGTTTGATTCCTGGTCAGGGCACGTACCTAGGTTGTAGGTTTGATCCCTGGTCAAGGCATGTATAAGAGGCAACCAATTGATGTTTCTTTCTTACATCCATCTTTCCCTCTCCCTTCCTCTCTTTCTAAAAGAATAAATACATTAAAAAATAAAGAAAATAACCAGTCCTGGCCAAGTAGCTCAGTTGGTTAGAGCGTTGTCCCCATATATCAAAGTTGTGGGTTCCATCTCCAGCCAGGGCATATACAAGAAGCAACCGATGAATGCATAAGTAAGTGAAACAACAACTCTATCTCTGTCTCTCTCTCTCTTCCTCCCTTTTCCCTCCCTTTTCCTTTCTCTCTCTCTAAAAACCAATAAATAAAAAATTATAAAAAAGAACAGATGTGATTTTCCAGTTTGATATCTGTGTTAGTTCCATATTCTGCCTGTCTGACAGGACATTTTATTTAATTACACTGAATAAAACCTAATAGAAGGTTATAATTTAAGAATCTTTTCCCTTGGATCTCATAAAACATTAAATATCATTCTTATTTAACCATATCCTTGTCATGCTTTATTACTTTAATTAAAATTTATGGTATTACATATGGAACATAATGTACTCCAGTTAATTAATTTTTCCCTTTGGACTAATTAAAAGTTGAAAAGCTTCCTTGATTTTAGTAAGCAGTAAATCTAATAGATAATAATATATGCCAACCTTTGCCTTTTATTCTTATTGTCTTCTAGGTCACTACATCCATTTTATACATCGTGATAGGAATAGATTGGATCACAAACCCATCAACTCTGTTTTACAGCTTGTAGGAGTTCAGCATGTGGACTTTACAAGCAGACCACCAGTTATCCATGTATGACAATACAGACTCTGGCTCTTTCAGATGGAACCTTGAGATATGGCCTTGTGTAATATCTAAATTGTTGGCTCTTCACAGTCTTTGAGGAGTTATGAAAACATAAAGAGACATGTACCAGTTGATTTGCATTTTGAGAAGCACTCATTGTCAAAAACGTGATGTATATTTGTAATTTTATAGCTTTTAAAGTTTTAAACAAATAAAATTTTATTTTTACAAAGTAAAACTTTAAAAGCTATCAAATTATAAATACCATTCTTTATATTATGCTATATCTATTCAATGAAAAGGGTTTTTTTTTTTTGGCCATGAAAATCATAAATCCTTATAAAGAATGTATAAGGGGAAAGTTAAGCAACTCAACACCATTTTATCCAATGTAAAAAGTAAAAAAGGATATTACATTCTGATTTTTATTATCACATATTAAACAGTATAATCACATTTTTGTATGTATTTGTTTATATTTTTGTATGCTTAGAAAAACAGACAAAAAATAAGCACAACAGAATATTGCATCTAAGTATCTCTATGTGGTAAGATTTATTTTCTTTTTTGCACTTTTCTGTATTTCCCAACTACTACACAGTGAATATGATTCATTTTTTGGCCAGGAAAAGATCTTTAAAAATTTATGAAGAATATTTTCCTACACAATGTGTTCCACAAGGTGCAGATATATTGGTGTAGTCCACATATTTCTATGCTAGGAGTTTTACTCAGAGTAAATAGGGCAAACCACAGCTTTCATATAGTCTGTTCAAAGCGCCTTGCCACCACATGTAACACTATCCATTTCACTAGGATTTTTTTTTTTGTAAAAGGAGAAAAATTAATTTAGCTATATAGGATACATGTTTAAAATATGGTGGGTATGCTTTTTGAAAAGGAATTTTAAGAACTGTTTAAACGAAAAATACTTTGGAACTTAAATATACACTGTGGTTTGGTTACACTCCAGCTTCCATTTCTCACCCCCAAGTTGCTTTTATTTAGTGGAGTATTGTCCTTTTATTTTTCTAGAATCTTAATATGAAGTGTCTCAGAAATTCTGATGAAAAGTACAGCAAAACCAAAGTACAGGGTTGGGCAGAAGTAGTGGTTTACAGTTGTTCATATGGAAAATAATATAATAATTAATAGGTAATACAAGAATAATTGTTTCTCATATAACTGTAAACCTATTTTGCCCTACACTGTATTGGTCATTTTTAACAAGTATACTGACTGCTTTGAGAGAATAAATTTACAATTCTTTTATATCAAGCTATGAAGTCACACAAAAAATAAATATTTAACATATCCAAATATGTATATACATATATGTATATACATATATAGGCATAGTCATGTTTTTAATCTAAAAATGAAATTTCTCATAAAATTGAAATTAAGCAATTTTGTGCTGTTTTATAGGCAGGAAAGACTGGTGGTAACCCAGATTCTTTTACTGATTTTAGACTTAAAACTGCTGAATCATAGCTTATACAAAATTTTATATTTATAAGTGAACACCATATTTTTCTAAAATACATACATGTTCCTTATGCGACTTCAGGAAAATACAGTTACATAAAGACAATGCAGTGGTAAATTGCCGAAACAGACATTTAATATAATTAATAGTTGTTATGAAATATATAAATATACTCCACATCCAAATGTACTGGACTCAAAATTTCTTAAAACCTTCCTGCAGTAAGTATATAAAAGTACTAGATAAAAATAACATCTAACACTTTAATGGTGCTAGTTATTTGCCAGGTACTATTTCAAATGTCTTACATATATTAGCTCTATAGAATTGATACTACCATCATCATCATCATCATCATCCCCATTTTACAGAGAAGGAACAACATCACTTTTAAAGCTGAATTTATAAGAAAGTGAAGAAACTCCACCAGGCTGATGAGCATGCATTGAAGCTGTGGGTTGTCCTGAGGGTTGTGGCCATCCCAGGAATTAAAGGCTGTTTTCTTGGCCAACTCCAAGAACTTGCACAGTGGAGAGGTAAAACAAAAGCCACTGCATAGAGGACAATCTGAGATCTATGTGTAAGGGCTACAGTCATGTCCATTCATAGACCAAGGAGCCCGGTGAGGACATGTAAGCCTTTTACAATGAACCATGGGGACAACAAGAATTACAATAAAATGAAAGTGTATTTTTAATTTTTAAAAATGCAAATACTTTTGGCCTGGCTGGAGTGGCTCAGTGGATTGAACACGAGCCTGAGGGGACCAAAGGTCACCAGTTCAATATCTGGTCACCGCACATGACTAGGTTGGAGGCCAGGTCCCCAGTTGGGGGACTGCACCTTTGCCTACCTTGGTGTTTCTTTCCCTCTCTTTCTTCCTCCCTTCCCCTCTAAAAGGAAACAAATATATTAAAAAAAAAGATTGATGATGAACTAGTAATTGAGTAAAATGTTCTTGTTACCATCTACTGTGAGGGAAGGTGCAAAGTGATGATAATGTCCCCCTGAAAACGGAAAGACAAACTTTGTAAAGAAGCAACATCATCTACTTCACAGTTCATAGTTTTAAGAAGAGTGTTCCAGTGATATTTAGAGCGTGCAGTTGTGCAGGACACATTAACATTATTCTGTGAATTATCAGAGTTCTTTTAAATTATCTTCACACAATTCTAATTCTGAGTTTTTTTGTGCACATAAAAAGTAGCTATTCATGTACTGGGTGTATTAGCAGAAAACTTGGAACACAGTTCCAGGATGCAAGTTTTATATCAGATAAACTTATTCCTGAAAAGGGAATTTAAAAAGATGTTTTTCAGCCAGTTAAGCCCAAAGCAAACCTTTAGAAATTTATTCTCTCCAAGGTGAAACATCTGATATTTTGATGCACACTAATCCAAATTAAGTTTAAAAATTCAAGATTGAAGAAAAAATCATTTGTGGTGACAATATGAATATAAATTTGGATAAATAGATATTGTGATGAAAACGTTGATCCTAAAATAAGGAACCCATGGAGCAGAAGTATACTTGGAATTTGTTGTGATGCACACATAATTCATGATTGTGTCCAAACAAGCTATCAATCATATTATGGTTGTTAAAATTTACCAATTAAAAAATTTTTATTGTGGTAAAATGACATTAAATTTACCATTTTAAATACTTTGAAAGGCATAGAGGTCAGTGGCATTAAGGATATTTATATTGTGCAGCCATCACCACCATTCGTCTCCAGAACTCGGTCATCAGCTCGCACTGAAACCATGCTTAAACAGGATCCCCACACCCCTATCCTCCTGGTGCCTGGTAACCACTGGTTTAGTTTCTCTCCCTGTAAATTTTAATAGGAACCTCACGTAAGTGGACTCATACATATCCTTTTATGTATAGTTAATATCCCTGAGCTAATGTCTTCATAGTTCATCTATATGTTACATGTATCAAAATTCTATTCCTTATCAAGGCAGAATAAGATTCCATTACATGTATATACCATGTTTTGTTTATTCTTTTACCTGTTCATGGACATAGAGATTTTTTTCTGCCTTTGGCTATTATAAGTAATGTTGCTATGAACATTGGTATAGGAATATCTGGTTGAATCCCTGCTTTTAGATCTTTTGTGGATGTACCCAAAAGTGGAATTGCTGGATCATATGGTAATTCTGTTTGATGTTTTGAGGAACCACCATACTGTTGTCCACAGCAGCTGTACCATTTTACAATACTAACAGCAGCTCACAAGACTTTCAAATTATCTAACATTTATTTTTTAGTTTTAAATAATAATCATTCTAATGGGTGAGAAGTGATGTCTCATTGTAGTTTTGACAAAATTTGCCAGTTTTTAAAAATGTGTGCACAAAGTAACCAAACAACAAAATATCTGTGAAAGCTGATGTTGAATAATTATTTCTTAAAACATAAGCACAGCAGTTTGCACTTTTGTGTTGCCCATCATCGAGCAGATATTAGGAACATTTGAAGCACTGAAGAACTGTAAATCAACCTGTGACCTCCTCATTGATAATGAACAGTTTTTTTGTACATGGGTCCAATATGTTTTGAGTTCTTTTGTTTAGTAAGTTGGAACTCTTTTATGAATTTATTCAGTGAATGATGTGCCAAAAAAACTTGAACTTTGGAAGCTTTTAGCAAATCATATGACTGAAAACAAACCATAAATAGGAAGACATTGCAATTTGGCTCTCAAAACGGAAGCTAAACAAAATAATTGAAAGGTCAAATATGATGAAAGATTTAATTTTGAAATTCTGTAACTTTGCTTTATAGCCCTATACATATTTTTTATCCTCACCTGAGGATATGTTTATAGATTCTAGAGACAGAGGAAAGGAGAGAGAAACATCATTGTGAGAGAGAAACATCGGCCAGTTGCCTCCTGTACTTACCTGAACCAGGTATGTGCCCTGACCAGGGATTGACCTCACAACCTTTTGGTGTGCAGAACAAAGCTTCAGCCAACCGAAACACCTGGCAAGGGCTACAGATCCTATTTTTAATTGGATAAATGTGAACTCTGCATCAGAAAGGAATGAAATTCAAATAAATAAATAAATAAATAAATAATTGCCTATGTTTTTGTAGCATCAACATTCAAAAGAATTATAAGTGGAGAATTTATTTGATGAGTTTCATCTTTTTAAAAAAGATTTTATTGATTTATTTACTTTGAGAGGGGGGAACGGAGGGAGAAAGAGAGGGAGAGAAAAATCGATCATTTGCCTCTTGCACACCCCCTACCAGGGAGCCTGGCCTGCAAGCCAGGTATGTCAAACTGAGGATCAAACTGGGGACCTTTGATTAAACTGGCTGGGAATCAAACTGGGGACCTTTCAGTTTGTGGGGCCATGCCCCACCCACTGAGCCACACCAGTCAGGGCTGATAAGTTTCATCTTGTAAAAATTGTGTGCTGAAGAAAGGTACTCTGAGTGTAGGTAAAAGACAGTATCTGGAAAGTAAGAGCTATTTGTTTTTAATAAGAAAAAAATGACTCGAAAATAACCTCCATTTAGCAAAATTTGTCTGAGCTTCCAAGACACCTCAGTACTATAGAGATAGAATAGTAGTTTGAAATGTGGACTACAGAAAAGAATCAAATTAAGAGGTTTGTGATTTCAAGTCATTTGACTAGAGAAATAAAACTTGGAAGAAGGTTGCAGGAAATTTTACTTTAAAGATTAAAACTAGTAAAACCATATTGAAAAACATAGTTTTCAGAAAATACCAATGACATGGCATTAGAGACAGATTCAGCTAAGTAATGTACTGTATTCAAATATGTTTTAATCATAATTTTTCTGCTTATATTATTTTTTAAAGTTTAGATAATATGTTTTAAAATTTTTTAAAGAATTTTATTTTTAAAATAGTTTTGAGTAGAATAATTTTACAGGTCCCTTTGAAACAATTGTTAATAGATATTTCAGGTAATTATATTAT